TGGGGAGGTGGAGCCTCTTTCAGCCCCTGTGACATCACGTGCTGCTTCTGGCTAGCGAGCAGCCACCAGCTCCTTCCCTGCCCATCTGACCGAGAGGGGAACCTCGCTTCTGTTAGGACTGAGATCCAGATGGCCCTTTCGTTCATTGGGAATCAAAGGACAGAAGATTTGGGTGAAACCCTGCTTCTTTCAGACTGCTTAAGGCAGCCCACCCTTAATGGTCTCACGCCTCTTCTAACAGAGGTGAGAGTGAGCTGTGGACTCTCAGGAGGCGTCCCAGACGCTGGCTCCTGAGCACAGTCCCATGGTGGCAGTGGCTCCCTGCTAGGCACAGCGGGTCTCCTGGACCCTGGATGGCGCTATGCTTCCTGGTTAGTAGGAGGGTCATTCATTCAGTGCCACACAGAAAACCACTCCAGAAAGGGGAGAAAGACAGCCCTCTCACAAGCCAGGAGGCTGAGACAGGACGGGCGGCTGGTTGGAGAGATTCTTTCAGAGCAGGCAGGACAGCGGGCCAGGGAGGCCCCTCTGGAGGCCAGCAGGCACACAGCAAGGGAGTTTGGGTGACGACTACAGTTGCTAAGGGAGAGTTTGGCTAAAACAAAAAGCAGAAAGGCTGAGAATTGTCCAGGGTGAGTCTCCCCCCTTACAGGACTGGATATCTGGTGATAACTGTCCTGTAACGCTCGCCGTCACCTGGCTCCCAAGGCCCGGGTGTCCCTCAGCACCCCGTGTCAGACCTGTGGCCGAGGCGTGGCAGGTCCCCTGGGCTGCAGAGCCTGCTGCTGGCGTCAGAACTGCCAGGGAGAGCTCACTGGCCGCACGTTCCCTTGCTGAGAGGGCCGCAGGCACAGCAGAGGCTCAAGAGAGCACAAGCAGACCACCCGGGCCACCAGCCCCTTTGCAGAGCCTGGATCCCAGCGCAGTGTGGCGTGCTGTACAAGGGGCCCGCCCACTTCACTGCGGAAACACCGCCTGCATGCTTCCGACCCCCCCCCCCCCCGGGTCTCGCTCAGCATCGGGCAGGCGGGAACCAGGCTCGGGGCTTACCCCCGGGCCGCCTGTACTGCTCGTGTGACCTTGGACACAGGCTGTTCTTGGTGAAGGTCACTTTCTTCCGCAAAAGTCGGCAGAATACCTTCTTCATACAGCTGTGGTGAGCATTAAATAGCACAGTTCTTGCTCACATTGTATTCCCTCCTCTTCCTGAAGCAACACATACTGTTACTGCCATGAAAGAGCCATAGAAAAGAACCCTGTATCCCGAGGCCCAACTCAGACACACAGCTGCTGCTCCGTCTCCTCCCTGGGCCAGGACATCAGAGGAGAGGCATTTTTAGAACCTCATAGGATGTTGTGGAAGAAGAAATTAATTTGAAACAGATTATAAGTTACATGTTCAGGCAGATTTTGAACGCAAAACTCAGTATGAGTATTAGCGGATTATCTACGAAACAATGATAGGATGCGATTTTCAAAGTCACCCCCCAGGTGAAATGGGATTCCACCTAATCAGTCACGCCTCAATGTTCTGTGGCTCACAGACCCGAGGGGGGCAGCCTCGGGCTCTCGCCAGGCAGCGCCCGTTTGTGCAGAAGCACCGCGTAGACGGGCAGCTGCCACGGCTGGGTCCTCTGCATGCTGGGAAATAGTCCTTAAACGCAGGGCAGTCTGGACGGATGCTCTTTAACCCTGGCCCTGGCTCTTCCGTTTCATCCCGTGCCATGACTTACACTGACGGGTTGTGAAATTAAGCAGAACTGGTGAGTTTTGTACCCTTCACACTGCGTCAGCCCAGCTTTTAGGAGCTGCTCGGTGTCTGTCTCGTCTCCCTGCGGGTCGCTCTGTCACATCACAGGTAGAGCTGCGAGACGTTTCTCCAGGAGATGGGGGCCAAGTCTTCAGATCACTCTCTTCATCCTCTTCGGTGAATCCTCTTCTTCTGGAAGCTGGTTTCACATGGTGGCTTAGATTTTTCGATCTTTGTATCTAGCACCATTTGAAATCAGTGTTTTAGGAGTAAGAATTGCAGCATGACGCGAGGAGGGCTTCTTGGAGTTGCTGCCCGCGGCCCAGCTCTCCAGTGGCGGGACTCCGAAGGCAGAACGCACCTGTGGATGTGTTGGGTTTGGAGGGCGGCCGAGGAGAGGTCTGTGCTGGGATGAACGCAGTGGCCTGGCCGGGCAGAGGCAGTCCGTGCTCCTCTGTGAGTCAGGGTGCTGTACGGGCGGCTGTGGTAGGAGGGAGTCCGGGGCCTGCTGCAGCCACCTCAGCGCTGGCTGCCTGCTCCGAGGACGCCCAGGACCGGCTGCAGTCCCGCACCGCTGCTCGCAGGCTTGCCGTCCGCAGGGAGCTGCCCACCGCTGGCTCGTCTCTTACACAGGCTGACCGATTTCTCCTGGTGTTCAGAGTCTGTTTTTGTCTAGCACCATTTGAAATCGGTTATGATGTAGGGGGAAAAGCAGCAGCCGCCGCGAAGCCTTGCGCCGGTGTGGTCAGCACAGCCTGTGGGCTCCTGGAGAACGGGCGGGCAGAGGCGGGGGAGAAAGATCGCGCTTTCCCTGCCACCTTCTTTAACTGTACTTAGGTCACTGTGGAGGTAAGAGATAATTTAATGGAAAAGCATTATAATTTGTCTGATGTCCTCAGCTGCATTTTCTGAAACGCAGCACTGCTGCGATTGTGTAGTGGTTGCTGTTGACATGTCTTTGTTAGGAAGAGTCTGCTCATGCGTCCTGACTTTAATAAATAATGTGCTGTGTTCCACTGATCATGGCCGTGTTTTTCATCTGTTATTTTCCATTCACAATTCTGTGACGATGAGAAGTTAGTTCTGAAAAAGTGATTTGCTGCGCAGATCATCCTACCTGCTTCCTGAGGCATTTAGAGGTGGTTGCAACAGACGTGAAAAATGAAGCTCAGGAAGACAAAAATGAGGTCCTGTGAGCTGGGAAAATGGATTAGAGAAGAGAAAAATGTTGGTGATGTAGGCTGAGGGAACGGGAAACTGTCCTCGGCTCCCCAAGAGCCGTGGATGCAGTGCCTCTGCAGAAGGTTCCAGAAACTTGTACTTCGCAGTATCGTGTGGGCCCGAGCGGAGCAGCACTAATTTCAGTTGCGTTTTAACAGATGGAGTTCTACTTTTGGCTGTTAGTTTCTATCAACTCTCGACGACAGGGTGAGCCAGTTTTGTAGTACTATTCAGAGATTAGCCAGATTTGACTTCTCAGGAGGTGAAGCCCCGACTCTGGGAAGGAAGATGTAGTCCCTTGGTCGGGCCTTCCCACAGGAAGTACCGGCCCTGTGCTCCCTGCAGGACAGGTATTTCAGACAGTGATTTACCTGGACACCAGGCGACGGCAAATCAGACACCAGAAGCCTTTTCAAAGCCCACGTCCCACCAGGCTCCCCCAGATGGCTGCCCTGCCCGGGGGCCTGGGGGTGGAAGGCGGATGAAGCATTTGTTGGGAAGATTTCCCAGTGAATGTGGTGCATCCTGCAGCTGCAGAGCTATTTCAGGCTGCTGATTGAAGAATCCATGTTCTAATCCCCAGGATGTGGTGGTGAGAATAGCTAAGGCCTTACATTGTATTGTCTTATTCGCTTCTCTGTCGAAATAAGCTACAGCAGTACCCCAGGCATGACAGCTTTGGGTCTGCGCTGCTAACTGCACATTAACCTGTTTTGGATACACTTATCATGTCCCAAGCTCCAAATTATTTGCATTCAAATATAAATAAGACATGATTCTGCCCCTCCTGAGGCCCGGATTTTACTCCTTAAATGAATAAGTGCTAGAAGATGGAGTTTAGCATCACACACACACAGGTTTGAGATCTCTTTTCTATAACAGTTCATTGCATTTTCATCACATACTTAATTTTAAACAATGCCACATCTCCAGCTCAGATCATGAGAAGCAAAACGTATCAGAGGTGCCACTCATGTATGCTTATTTTGTCTGTCTGCTCACAGCCATTTGCTTCAAGTTGCCACTGTGAGGTGGTTTTCATAATAGATTAGGAATTAATGCAGAATGTTTCTCCTGCTGACACCACCTTGAACCAGGTTTAGGAGGCTGTGCTAACACCTGGGGTAGAAATGCTTGGTAAAAGCATCACCAGAGGTTTGCCATGGTTTTATGTAGAAGAGAAGAGGAAGTTTAGACTGCAGCACCCTGGAGCCCCAGGCAGCTTGCTAGCAGGTAGTTCCCACCTGTGGAGGTGAACCCCGGTGAGTCCTTAGCAGACAGGAAGGAGTCAGATCTTTGAGCAGTTTAGTGAGGCATCCAGGCTGGGCAGACCCTGGCAATTCCTTGTGTAAGATGTTGGCCCTGGTCTTCATTCTGGGGAGCTGGTGCATAATTGCAGGATTACCTAGCAGACTAGTATGTCTGCACTTTAGGGGAGCTAAGAGTTTTCCTGGAACACAGAAAATTACACTTTGGGCTAATGCAGTAGTCCACCACCTGGGCTTCCTGGACCCCAAGAGCCTCTGGGCGAGGGACCCTTGGGTCCCATCCCCATGGGACCTGGTTTAGCTGGTCTCAGAAGGGGCCTGGACACTCTCTTTTGTTTTTTAAAGTTTCCCAGGTGATTCTAACATGCAGCCAGGGTTGGGAGTCACTTCTGAGGACTGCCAGCACCCTCGGTGTATAAGCCAGTGGTATATTCGTTCCTTTGGCCGCTATAACAAACCTGTGCCCCAACACACCTACATTCTCAACATAAGTCTCAGTCACTCACGGGACTGAAACAGGGAGGTAACAGGGTGTATTGCCTTGTTCAGCACCTAGAGCTTCCTTCCTTGGGCTGCATCTTGTCTTCCATCTCTGAAGCCAGCAGTGTCACACTGTCAGTGGCCATATCATCACTTGCCCTAGTCCGATCTCCCTTTGGCTTTCTCTGCCCAGCACCCTTGGGATGACACACAGTGCCCTAGCTGGGTAATCTCCCCCTTTCCAAAGCTCTAATCTTCAAAGACCCTTTTGCCATATCAAGTCACATTCTCAAGTTTTAGGTATTAGGATTTGGCCATCTTTGGAGGCCACTCCATAGCAGTGGCTGGAAATACAGAAGAAATGCAGGACACCCCCCCCCCCAGCCCTGGTGAGTCAGCACGCACAAAATCATCGTGTGACTCAGCTGGACACCAGCATTCGCAAAGCATGGTGCCATGGGGTCCACCTCCAGCACAGCCCTGTCAGCCTACTTCCCCAGGAGCCTTTGAGTGGAGGTGGGTGGTAATCAGATGATGGAATTTTCCTGACCCCACACAGAAGTGCTCCTCTAAGCCTCCATCCCTGGATTCTTGATGAAGCCACAGACGTAAGCACCAGGAGGCCTGAGCAACATAGAGTAGTGCTGTAGTGCAGTCCCTAAAAGCGACATGCGGGAGGTAGACGTCAGCTTCAGTGGCTTCTCCTACTGGCAGTTTCACTACCTCCATACAGGCTTTCTCGGGCTTTGCACTGTCAAGCTGGAAATCGGGGCAGGTTCCGGTGTGATCTGGTATCCGGCGTGATCCGACATCTGGTGTTCATTCCCCTCTGCTGGACTCAAGTGAGAAAGAAGAAAAGTTGCTTATTTATCCCACAGCCCTTCTCCCCTATATTATGTTCACCGCGTTTTTATTTTATTTTTTGGTACTTGGGAAGGAGCTCAGCCCAGGGCCTCTGCATGACGTCACATCTCAAGCCCTGTTTAATCTTTTATTTTGAGCTGGGCTGGAACTGCCTCGGCCTCCCAGAGTGCTGGAAATACAAGCACATGCTGCCCTACCCGGCAACGTTCCCCCAGCAGTATGGGGAACAACTTAGTCCTTTTTTAAAGATGTTAATTTCGCAGAAGCACCAGGAGAGAGCTAGTTTTATACTGGATCCAAAACGAAATTAGAAATGGAACCTCTTGACGGTTTGAAAGTGAGGAGGGATTGGCCGATGCCCCTACCGTCCACAGGAGGGCAGCAGTGTCTCGCTCTACCGAGGCTGTTTGCTCTCCCTGTAACCTTTTCCAAATGAGCCTGGACATGCTGGAAGCAAAGCAGTTTAGGGAAAAATAATACATACGTGCAGTCACTCAGACCTGCATCAATTCTAGGCGTTAGTAGACTCCAGTAGAATCCTTAAGTGCGAGTACGCAAATTTTTTAAAATGCACAGAAAACTTCATTCTTGGTTGACGACACCGTGGAGATGCCTCTTTCCCTTAAGCCCGAAAATCTACTTTAAGAAGCCAATTTAAATTCCTTCCAATCTCAGGTCTCTGCAGTGTTCCTGCAGAAGACTTTGTTAATTACCTTAAAAGCATTCCCTGTGTATTTTTTGCCACTTGAAACAACGAGTCTCGGGGTCAAATAATGTTTTCTAGAGTGATTTCCTCGTTCATATTCAACATAGTTTTCATCCAACGTTGATGGTAAAAAGATTTCTCCTGTATTTTAAAACCACGTTTAGCTAGATTGCAAGACCTGAACTCTTTAAAATTTTTCTGATTTAACAGGTGGAATTAAAACCATGATTCTTTGGTGGAGGGGAGTATAAACCTTTACCTTCCTCTCTCTTTGTAAATTTATTTGAAGAAACTGACTGTCGTGCTTGAGAACCTCTGTTGCAGACGTCCTCAGCTCAGGGTACGGTGGAGTCACTTGGGTCCCAGCCGGTGTGGGGCCACATCCCAGGTCAATTACCCATGAGCCCTTGGGTCCTGACCCAGGTGTCATAAAATTCCCCAGGTGATTCCAATGTGCAGCGATGGCTGAGAAACACAGAGGCCTCCTCTGAGATTCCGAAGTCTAATTCCAATCTGCGAAGACAGCCAGCATGACTTTTTGTGTGAACAAACCCTCATCCCTGTTACAGAAATCAAACTCTATACGTGAATTGTTGGGAGTTGGGTTTTTTATTCAGCACTGTATACATTTACGAGATGCGGAAGATGCGTCTATTGTTAGACTCTGTAAGTGGTTAACACGCAGTTAGCTGGGGAGAAACCCGGCAAAGCTGCAGGCAGTGGGTTGTCTCTGAGATGGTCTCTGGGAAACGAATAACTCCAGAGAAGATAAAGATATTTCAAGCAACAGGGGACTGGGAATATAGCAGAAGGCATGGGGCAGATGGTCCAGGTTGGCTGAGAGCAGGCTACTTGAAAAAATGTAGCAGAAAGAAAGGCTTGGAAAGGATTTCATCGCAGAAGGTCAAGTTCATGCTGGGAATCACCAGCACGGGAGTGGCTTGGCGAGGGAGACTGACCTGAGATTAACGCGGTAGATGCACAGATGAAGCAGCTCCACGCATACTCTTACTTTTACCAGACTTGAGCCCCCTTCACACAATGAACAGTAAGGGTCCCCTACACATGGGCTTCTCATCTTATTGCACATTCATTTTTGCTGTACAAAAGTATCAAGTTCAAAAATGCTTCTTTCCCCATCATTTAAAAAACGTTTAAAGAAAACTTTTCCCCATGTAGTTAGTGGGCAAATTGACAAAATATGTATTTAGGCATAAATCTCAAATATAAATATTAAATTGAAAATACTAAATTTGAAGCAGAAACTGCTATAAATTTAATTTTAATCATAAAATATTTAAGTTGAAAATAGTTCATCAGGTTTTAAAAACTAGGTACCCAACTATTCCTTCTGAACAACTACTACATTCTTGAAAGATATGTGAAAATAGATGTAACCTTTAACTGTTTGATTCGGAATTCCTGTCTATTTCTGCTTCAACATTACTTCCCCAAGTCACCAAGCAGGGGTACAGGGGAGGGTCACTGGCTGTAGATGTGTCTCCATGCAGTAGAAAGTGCTTCTTCTTATGGGATTTGTGCTCACCGCCTCTTTGTTCCCAGCCTTCTCAAGGCAGACTTTCTCGAGCTCATTTTTGTGGTACCAAATATAAATGTTTAAAGTACTACCTGGAGAAATGTGTTTGAGTGTCAGTCCCTCCCTGCCCATTGGCTTCTTTGAAGATGCCCTGGCTTGGGGCTGGAGTAGAGGAAGCTGTGTCCCAATCAGCAGCAAACCTGAAGTCCTTTCTCAGAAGCACGTGGCCCGATTTGTCCCCACCTGTGGAAGGTGAGATGTGCAGACCAGAGGCTCTGGCTATGGAGTGCGTGGACTGAGGCTTGATGTCACTTGAGTTAGCTGATGAATTTATCTGCTACAAAACTGTTTAAGGCAAGACCTCTCTGTTTAAGGAGAGGAAGCAAGCCACCTGTAGCCAGAATTTAGAATGGATTATTCAATACACACAGCTGTCCTTAAGAAAACCCTAAGGCTGCAGCCACGTGAGGCAAACGCTGCAGTCCTTGTGTGGGAGCCAGAGCCTAGTCTAATGTTGCGCACAGCAGCTGGCTCTGTATCTTACCGATTTCTCATTCTGGCTTATTGGTGTTCCCGAGAAGGAGTAAACATGAATGTCACACAGATGCTTTCTAGCTTTTTAAAATCACCCATGAAGTTACTGAAAAATTAATAATCTAATAAGTGTGCCTTATTAAAGTTTACCTTGCTAAAGTTTAGATAATTTTCCAACAGTTTTCTTAGTTTAGGTCAGACTCGGCCACATCCTGGTTTACCTGTTCTTGTCTTGAGGCACTGAAGGAGCGAGCATGCACGTTTGTAAGGCTCTGATGACAGTATACAAAATACATTTTAGAGCTGTCCAAAGAAGTGTCTTAAGAGTTGGCATTAAAGACTTTGTTTCCATTTTTTCATTGTCTCATACTAATTCCATTCCCTTCTTTCCTTTCCCCTACCCCTCCCACTTCCCCTTTGCCCCTTTTCTTCCTATTTCACATTATCTATTATACCTTTTAGTCCTTATTTACACTTTCAGTTTCTCATAGTAGAGAAACTATTCGGTACTTACATGTGTGTCCTGTTTATTTCACTTAAGAGTATGGCCTCAATATGCATCCATTTAGCTATAAATGCCTCTAATTTCTCATTCTTTATGGCTGAGTAGTACTCCATTTTATAAAAAATTTTTTTTCTTTATCCAGACTCCAGTTGATGGGCACTTGGGCTGTTTCCAAGCTTTTGCTATTATGAACTGTGTCACTATAAACATGGGTGAGCATATATCCCTGTGGTATGATTCTTTTAATTCTTTAGGGAAGATCCCCAGCAGGGGAATAGCTGGGTCAAATGGGACCTCTAGTCCTAGTTCTTTGAGGAGTCTCCGTACTGATTTCCACAGTGGTTGCACCAGTCTGCACTCCCTCCGACAATGGAGGGGGATTCTTTTTTCCCCACAGCCCCGCCAGTATTTGCTATAGGGGCACTGGCCAGCCTGCCTGCCCTCGGGTAGCAGTGTGAAGGTAGGAAGCATGCTCACGCACGGATGCGTGGCAGTGCTGGGGCAGCAAGGAGGCCTCCAGTCCAGCCGCAGGCACCTACCAGTCACCTTCCCGACAGTGAGAAGAGAAACGGCCGAGACTTAGCAGAGCCGGAGGACCGACCGACTGGGGCACGGCTTGGGGCGGGCGGGGGCAGTTCACGCTGCAGGGCGGTCCAACTTTTCTGGAAAGTGGCTTTCGACCTGTGGTTCCTTCAAGGCAGGGAGTAAAGACCGCATCAAAGGTAAACAGAATTAAGTACAGAAATTACAGCCCCGAAGCCTATTTAGAAAGAAAATAGACCTTTATTTTTCTGATGCTGGGGATGCAACCCGGAGACCTACACAGCTAGGCAAGCGCTCGCTCTACCGCGAGCCACACCCCCACCACAAGGAAGACAAAGAGCAAACAGCTGTAGTCTCCGAGCTAGAGAACAAGTGGTTCGTTCAAGATAATTTCAAAGGTTCCGTGAGTCTCGCCCTAAAGACCCTTCTTCTATCTCTGTTTCTTTTTTTTTTCCTGTGTTACATTTTTAATCCCTTCCAAAACAAGTAGAGCAGCAGCACACAGAGTACTTAGTAAATATCTCCTCACTTTGACTTAGGGCCAGTGGGGAAGGCTGGAGAGAGACACATGCTTCCTGACCATCCCGAATCGGCGTCGAGAGCTCTGAGATGAACTCTGCGGAAGCTGGTGATTCTCACAGTGCTGGGACGGCCTCCCTCAGCCCGAGCCAGATCCTGTGTTCCCTCGATAGCGCGAGTTTCCGCCATACGCTGTTTGACAGTGGGCAGCTTTGTAAAACCTACTCACGCCCAGTGCTGCCCGAGGCATTCACATACGCACGTTTTCTAGAGGACACATTGAAAACAGGCGGAAGAAAACAGGCGGAATTAATAGTATTTAACCCCATGTAGGTATCAAATGTTGTGAATGAGTTTTGACATTCATGTCACTCTCCTCTGTCCTATGTCTTGGACACTGTGTGTCCTTTATACTCTCAGCACCTCTTATGTTGGACGGGTCACTTCTGAAGGCCTTGGGGTGACCCAGGGCTGTACACTGCAGTCTACCCCTGCCTGTCGGCTAGCAGTTTGCATAACTGGTATTAAATACAGGTACATGTATATAAATGCCGTGCTGGAAGTTGAACACAGGACCTTGGGCAAGCTGGGCAAATGCTCTACCCCTGAGCGACAGCCCAGCCTCACTGTATTTTAGTGAGACCAGGTTTTGCCGAGTGGCCCAGGGTGGTCTCTCAGCTGAAATCCACCTGCCTCAGCCCTCCAGAGGGCTGGGATTGCAGCTGTGCACCCCAGTGGTCAGTGTTAGGACTGTTTCTAAGGAATGCTGAAGTGCCTGCATAGCTTGGCCTAACACTAAATTCTTCAAGTCTGCTGTATTTTCCAGCACTTTCTTCTTCTGTAGAAGTAGAATCCTTTACATACAAATTTTTTCTTTTTGGTATTGGGGATCGAACTCAGGTCCTTGTGCTTGCGCAGCAGGCGGGGAAACCACTGAGCTAAATCCCTGGCCCTACATAGAATTTTTAAAAGGGGATTTGATATTTGAGAAAGATAAAAAGCATTAATATAAATTTAAAATATTTGACGTGTCAACAAAGTTGTCTGGAATAAAAGTGTGAAACTAAATTACTAATCAAGGTTATTTTGTGCTACCCTCAGGGTTCATTAAATGATCTTCAAATGTTCGGACTCCCTGAAGCTTCAGAGAGTCTAAAAGCTACTCACTGGCTTTCACCTCAGGTTGTCACAGGAGACAGAGCCTAGAGAACTGGCTAGGGCCAGACTGCCACTTCTAGTTGGTGTGCGATCCTCCACTCTGGCCATGCTCAGAAACACAACCTTGTTTTTACTAAGAAATCGTGTCTCCCTTTGGCCTTTGCAGGTCCTGCTCCCAAACTCTTGCTTGTGAACTAGAATAGAGTCGCTTAGAAAGGCAACATTCTTCCAGCCGAATAGACACACTCTGTAGCATAGGCAGGGAAGCACTTGGGATTCATTTCAGTTGGAGGCCGAAGGTGCGTGGGACCAAAGGGTGGAGGGCAAAGCAATTCAGGATTTTTCAAAGTCTCAGTGTTTTTCTGATTTTCTTTAATATGCTAAATATATTCTGGTTCAGGGAAGCAAATGTTTTCAGTTATTCACATATTGCAATAGAATACATTTACAAAATTAAATAAAATATATTTTGGTTTTTGTAAAAGAGCATTTTTTATACACAATGGAATACTATGCCATTTCTTTCTTTTTTTTTTTTTTTTCGGTACCAGGGATTGAACTCGGGACCTTGTGCTTGTGAGGCAGGTGGCAGAACCACTGAGCTAAATCCCCAGCCCTAAAAGAGCATTTTTCCCCCTCTTTGAAATTAAATGAACTGGTTCTGGTGATTACTCCCACTGGGCGCAACAGTTCCTTTTTGGATTCTGAGCTACTCTAGATAGTGTAGGCAAGTGGACAGTCTGATAAAGGCAAAGGGAACAGACTTCTGCGCAAGCCCATGTCCGAGCAAATCCTGTCAGCACACATTATGCCAAATCTAAGTAATGGTCTAAGAAAACATCAGTAATTGGCCAAAGGCATGGAGATCTAAGTTTCCTCTTTGACGTTTACTGCTAACCTCTCTGGGCTCAGGTTATCGATATCTAAATTCCCACTGAATATTTTTCAGAACAAAGGACATTGGTACAGAGAAACACACAGAAAGCAGATACCTTTTAATGATGAAAGCAAACCTTTCTCTCATCTCTTCTATTCAGAGAGAAGTAAATTTTATTTCTTTGTGGCTGTCATCAGTTAGCTTTGTGCTGGACAAAGGAAAGGAAAAAGGCTGAATAAGACAGAGGCATCAATCCAAAAAGAAGCAAGGGCAGTATGTGAGGTAAATCAATGATGGAAGAGAGTGGAGCTGAGCATGAGGTGCATAAATTGGCCAGGTTTTCTGGCTCTCAGCATGGATTTGGTACCCGGCTACTTTGAAGTCTTACGCATCACCCAGCAGATGAACAAATTCTAAATTTCTGTCCAGTACGTTTACCTTTGAAACCATTTTACACAAAGCAAATATTGTAAAAATTCTTTCAAAGAGTAACACTGTGTAAGGAGAAATGGGCGAGGTCTCTAACACCCTCGATTTTAAGAGAATACATACAATTTATTAAATCTGAGTCAGACTGTCTTAGAAATCAATTTTATGACGTGTCATATAGTTTTAAGAGGCACCCTGACTTTTTACATTGAGTACAGTTTCTTCCTGGGACATTTGGTTTTCAACTTGAGGGAAAGCTCTTGTAAAATGTATTGCACGCCCCCCCCCCCAATTTCTGGGATGGCTTTAATTTCATTACTATGCTTCCTAAACTAACAATGCAATCTTTCGTTACACACTATTTTTTGTTTCAAAATTTAGAAAGCTTTGTTGAATGCTAAAAAATTTGAGAGCCAACTAGAAAAAAATGCTTGATTTGATGTGATTGGTTTTGCCCCATGTCCTACCAGTTTCTGGTCTGAATTTTTAAGCCGTCTGAGCCAAGACGAGTATGTCTCACTGAAGGAAACAATCATTTAAGCAGATAGCTTAAAAAGGACAAAGTAATTGAATCTGCCCATGTTAGTATCACATTAAAAGTGGGTTTAGGGTATAGCTAAAAGTAAATATGGTTAATAGAAAAACACTGTTCTGGCACAGATAATTGAGAATATGAATGAAGCAAATGATTTGCATAACTTTAACAGCTCTCACCTATGCTGGGGTGGTTTAACAAGAGTAATGACCCTTTTAAGATACATACATAGATGTAGAGTCTTTAAAGCTCCAGTGGTCTTAGACCTGGCAAGAAGCTGGACCGTGCCTTCAGCTTTATGTGGACACTGTGGCTCTGTCGCTGACAGTCATAGCCTGGGTACTCCGAGCCTCGGTCAGGGCAGTAAAGCAGCATGACCCCGGTGTGCAGGAGAGATGAGAGGCTCCAGCTCCGCCCCAGACCCAGTGTCCGCATCTGCTTTTTACCAGATCTGCAGGTCATTCGCGGGCACATGCAGTTAGAGGAGCACCACTCTGGGCTCTCAGGAGGAGGTGCAAACCCTCAGGAGGGGACCTTCAGCGGCCAGGGGGATGCACGGACCTCAGGGCCTTGAAGCCAGGCAGTCTGGAAGTTAAGAATCTAACTTCTCTCTCCTGAGCATTTGAAAGAACCTAACTGGTGGTTCAGCCATTACATGTTCTACTGAGTATGTTTCTGTCACAAAAACAGCAAAGGAAACCCTAAAAGATTCCCATACAATCTACACTTCAGTTCAAAGGCAATTAAGAATCACCCTTTCCACGCCATTCTTTGTAATTTTGTCAAGTCGTGCTAATGCACATGGGATTAATTAGGTTGCATTGGTTAAAGGTAAAATATCTTTCCAAAATATATTAAAATTTTAATAAGGCAGTTTTCTGTTGGAGCCCTGTGTTATAACATAGCGGCTTTTAATAAAAATAATAAAAATTAATTTTGAAATTTCAAATTACTATTGCATTTGAACCTTTAATTTGTGAGTGTAATAGTCAGGTAATTGCTTAGAGTTAACAGACCCCTCTAGAGAGAGTCTGATTAACATTTGTTGGGAATCTTTAAGAATTTTGATGGAGTGATGTTTTAAACAAAAAAGGAAATGAGCAGAAAGCTGTTTTGTTTTGGTATTGCTAGAAGTTATTTCTGTACAAACCTTTTAGACTCATAAAACTTTTCCACTGATAATATTTTCTATTCACATTGTTGTATATATAATTTTTAAAAACTTGCAGAAAAATCAAATAAGAATATTATGTGTTTCATAAGTACAAGATTTGTAAGATCAAATGAAGGAATTATGAATATTTTAAAAGTTAACCCAGAAATATGAAAAGTTTGAGGTTTTTATGACAAGAATATACTTTTATTATATAGCCCAAATCTGAATATTAATATAAAAGCAAAAGAACCCAGAAGCAACAGAAGTCTTAAAATTACTTGACTTCAAAGCTATTTTTAAAGCTACAGGGAAAAAATAAAAATACATATTTCAGTCTAATCTTGGCCCATACTCCAGGATTTATTCTGAATCTTCCATTAAATTGTAAATTCTTTTGTCACAATTTAAATTTGATACTTAAAAACCCTGTTTTCATTAAAAGATATGTATTCATATATTTTTTTCTGCTCTGCTTTTATTTTTATAGAGAAAAAGATAGCTAAAAGTTAATGGAGCTACCCTCAGCAACTTGAGCCCCTGGGTCCTTATAATGCAATCTAGTAAATTAAAAGAACATAAGAGAGAAATCAACTAGTGTTGGTTTTTAGCCCCCAGTTTAACATTTATAGATAACAACTCTAGATGAAAAGAAATCAAATTGGGAATTTTAATATGACACTACATATCTCATTACAACCAGCTAAATTATACAAACGGAAACGTTCATCATAGAGATTCCAGTGACTACAACTGTTAAAGTCTCCAGAGTGCAATACTTTAATTTTGGTCACTCATCCCATTTAGGAAACAGCAGATACCTAGGGTGGGAGAGGCCTCACTAAGGGACTTAAACCTCACACCCTACAGAAACTGTTCTTACAACAGCACTGATGAAACTGCTCAGATTCCTCATGTTTGCAATGATGTTAAAAATATAGCTGAAAATATTTTAGCAAAGAAATGCAATCCAGAGGACACATCAATGCAGGCGCAGTTGGAAAAAGACTCTACCAGTACGAAGTGCAAACTTGGGCTGCATAAAAGCGAGTGAAGGATAAGGACCAATAAGCTAGAAGAAATGTGCTTATATTTACCTTTTATTATGGTGTTCAACGCATCTGTGCACAAAAAGAGGAAGTACAGCCACTGCAACAACTAAAGGAAAACAGTAAATAAATAACGTGACTGAAAACTAATAACCAGGACTCAAAATCTAAGCAGAAGAAACAATGCTGGTGATATTTATATGTTAGACTATGGTATTTTATGTAAGCATCTATAGTTTATATTCCACCTGAATTCTTCATTATCTACATCCAGCTCCCTGGAATTACTTACACAGTAGACAGTAGGTCAAAGAAGAGCACTGGCTCGACTTAGAAAATTGCCAAAAGCATATTTAAGAAGCAAACTCTGATCGCATCATCTTAGGAAAACACATTGTTTTTAGGCCTTCTTTTTAAGTATATGTACAGGATACAAAGAATATAAAATCAGCCAAAGCAAAGGGTACTATATAAATAAAGACGAGCTTTTCTAGGTTGCTTTCCCACCTTTTTTGTTCTTTCCCTGTGCAGTACTGGGCATTGAACCCAGGGCCTTCCCCAGCCCTTTTTCACTTTTCTAATTTGAGACAGAGTCTCAATAAATTGCTAAATTGGCCAGGCTGGTCTCAATCTAGGTTGGTCTGCTTAATCTCAAGCTCTAGGAACTACAGAAGTGAACACCTATGTTAAAACTGCACTTCTCTGGAATAGTATTCAAAATTGGGATATTTACCTAGAACAAGAAGCATGAGAAGACTGATCCACACATCTACGAAAATATGAAAACAGAACATGTTGGATAAGTGTGGATCTAGACAATGGCTCCATTTTATTCAGCTCAGCTCTTCTAAACATTAGAGTGAAGAAAAGTTTAGTTAATTTTAGCATGGCCACTAGTACATCTAGGAGGTTGTTCTTTGTTTTTCTTTTGCTCACTGTGTAGTCCAACTTGGCCTCTGATGCACAGGGATCTGCCTGCCTCAGCCTTCTGACTGCCAGTGTTACAGGCGTGGGCTGCCATGTTTGGCCACTAAATCATTTTGCTCACTGAACCCTTCTAAGCCAGTTTTCGGATTTTGGGTCCAATTTGTGGAAATCTTTAATAGAAACTTTACTCTGCCATGTTTTGTCTTATAGTTACCCCCTCAGGTTATTTAGCAAAGGTTACTGGAACATTAGCATTCATTAGAGTAGAGGAAAAACTTTGAATTTTGACTTTTCCTGGGTTGGCAATAGGACGTGTGACAGAATCTCAGGATGCTGCACGGGGTGGCGGGCCACAAGATCACAAAAGTAAACAACCAGAAGTCTCTGCAGTGTTGCTAAGCTATGATATTGGTAAGTTAGGGGCCTTCAATGTATTTGAACTTAGGATATCTTCAATTTACACTCAGTTTCATCAGGATGCAACCCCACTGTAAGTCAAGGAGCAAATGTAGAGTTGGTACTGAGTATCTATGGGTTCCAAATCCATGGATCCAGTCAACTGCGGACTGAAAATATTTGGGGAATAAATTGTGCCTGTTCCAAGTGTGTGCAGACTCTGTTTTCTTGTCATTATTCCTTAAACAATAGAGCATGATTATTTCTACTGGATTGGGTATTATGAGGCATCTAGAGATGGCACAGTACACAGGAGAAGGTGCCCTGGTGGTGTGTAAATATCACGCCATTTTATATGAGGGTCTCGAGTGCCCACATTTCGGTGTCAGAGGGAGTCCCGGAAGCAGTCTCCATGGAGCCTGAAAGATGGTTTACTAAAAAATAAGCCTAACATGAATTGCATTAAAGGACTAATCATTGCTAAACTGGTCTAATAAACAGAAATCGATTTTTGTCTTCTTTCACTCATCAAGAAATCTTTATTTGTTTTGTTTTTTTGTGGAACTGGGGATCGAACTTGGGACCTTGTGCTTGCAAGGCAGGCACCGGAACCACTGAGCTAAATTCCCAGCCCAAGAAATCGTTATATTTCATTGACCGTTAACTGGCATGACTAGTTCATTTACTATGATGTGAACTGTGTAGATCCACATAAGTGTGTTAGACTGGCCTGTTACCAACCCAACCTACAGGGTGGTGCATGCATGACAGCGAACAGGACGGGAATCTATCTACAAATTGCCATCGCAAAATAACCCTGTCATGTGGAAAACAGATTGTATTTTAGGTATTTTCACTTACATGTAATGAGAGCATTTAAGGACGTGAGCTCCCCCAATTTGCTCTCCTGTGTTGAGGCACAGTTATGAAACTGTGCTTATTGATGCGCTGCTATGCATGCCATCACATGTTCTTCACAGAATCAACACAGCCAAAGTAACCCTAAATGCTACTTAACACCAATAATATGTGACACTGTTTCTTACTTAACTGACTGTAATTGTAATATACGATATTTCCATGTAAACTGCATGGTTTCATAATGCAGTTATTATTAATAGCCAAAATACTAACTTAATTCTTGGTCAAAGAGTCCTTCATGGGGATTGGGATATCCTAGGGAAAAAAGAAAGAAAACCGATTAAGTAAAATAAAAAAAATAATAAATAAAGCTTAAAATTCTTTAAATTCATATGTTGATTTTTTTTTACCTTTGTATAAAATCCCTTAAAATTTCATTTCCTTATAAACAGTGTCACTATTTCTTAAAGTAGTATCATAAAGTTCTATAAAGTTATATACAATACTGTTAGATTTCTTCCCCTGTCCACTAACAGTCCCTGTGGTAATATTGTAGTATAGCATACAAATTTATCTTTAATATATCCTCAAAATTAGCCTGTGTATTTAGTGATTCTAGTTTAAAGATAGACTAGGGCTCAATAAACGCTTTTAGAAGCCAGTCTGGAATGGAAGGAGACTTCCCCAGCATAAGACCATACAAGAGCAGCCCGCGGGTAACAACTTGCTCAAAGATACACTGCTCAGTTTCTCCTCTAAGCTCAGAATCAAGCCAGGTGCCTGTGTTTGCCACTTCTACTCAACAGTGTTGGAAGTTCTAGCCAGCAATTGGGTAAAAGAATCCAAATTGAAAAGGAAGAAATTGTATTATCTCTGTTTACAGGTGATGATATGATCTTTTATGAAGAAAGTCTTAAGGAGTTCACGTATACCATGCCTTCTAAACAACCTATTAGAACTAAAAAGTGTATTCAGCAAACTTGCAGGATATAAAATCAATACACAAAAATTAGTTCTATATCTTTATGCTAAAATAATCAAAAATGGAAATTAAGAACACAATTTCACTTAAAATAGCATCAAAAAGAATAGAATACTGAGGAAAGAACTTAACCTAGAAGGCAGAACTTGTACATCAAAAACTACAAAACACTGCTGAAAAGCATTAAAGACATAATAAATGGAAAGGTCCATTTTCATGAACTGAAAGACTTATTATTTTTAAGCTACCAATATACACAAAGCAATCTACAAATTCAGGCAACCCCTGTCAAAACCCTTTCTGCACAAACATAAAAATTCATCCCAAAACTACTGTGAAATCTTGAGGTACCCCAAATAGCCAAAACAATCCTGGACAAGGAAAGCAAAGTTGACAGGGCTCACATTGCTTGGTTTCAAAGCTTCAATCCAAGTGGAGTGACACTGCTATATCAAGGAGTAGGGCATGTGGAAAATAAACCCTGTCATATTCAATCAAATGCTTTTCAGCAGAGTCAAGAGCAGCCAGTGGAAAGGGGGCTGATGGGAAATCTGGACATCCACAGGCAAAAGAATGAAGTTTGACCCTAATATACAAAAACCAACTCAAAATGGACGAACCTAAATGTAAGATCTACTCTGCCGTCCATCCTGAGCAGTCTGCTAAGCGATTCCTGGATTTTATTACCAACATCTTTGCCTAAGAGCCTGTGCACTCCATGGTGATTGGTGCTTCACATTCAAGGCCCTGGGATGGAAGGCTTTTGGGATACTACAGATGTGGATGCAAGTGAGCACCCACGACTGAAAGTGGCCAGTCCGTCACTGGAGGTGGGGTGGGGAGTGGTTAGCAGGCCGGCACCTCCCAGAGGCAGGGCCTGAGAGGACTTCTGTGGCTATGCAGGACCTGGAGGAGGTCTCTGGCAGGGAGTGATCACTTTCAGTCTTCTCCTACCCCACTCCCATGTCCACCCACACATCTGGACACAGACGCCCAGAGATGGCCGGAAGTGTCTGAGCCTGGGTGAAGGTGTTTGGCTACTGCTGCGTGAACCAGAACGCATGCCTTTCCTGGAGCTGGAAGTTTCAATGGGTGTGGCCAGTTCTGGAGGCTGGAATGATGGGCCAGTGCACCGCTTGTTTCCACGTTAAGTTTCCTTTCTTCCTGGCTAGCTGTCCCCGAGGTTTATTTCCAGCAGAAGGGACTATCTCTGGGGGCCAGTTCTGCTCATTTCGACAGCATGGAGGTCTCAAGCGTGGAGCTTTCCTGAATGTGTACAGCTAGCACACTTCCCTCTGCCCTTTCTCAGACCCTTTTTCAGCTGGGTTTGTTTTCATTCTGTTCTCTTCTGTCCCATCTTCTACTGCTGCTGTGTCTCCCAGGGCACAGATGGCCTTCTCTGTCATCTTCACTCTCCTCTCCCGGAGAGGAGTCAGAGCCATAACGCAATCACCCATCCTATCCACTTCCAAAGATAGCTGGGTTAACGGATGATAGTCTCAGAATGTAGAGGACCCTGATGAAGTGAGGTAGGTGTCCGTCCCTCCCTCCAGTACCTTTGGGGCTAAGACACTCATTCTTGATATTCCCCCCATTCCCCCACCCAGGAAGCATCCACTTTTTCTCACATAAAGACAGGCACCAGCAACTGGCCTGTGGGGATGCAAAGCTGTTTTGCTCTGTGTCTGGCTGGACTAATCAGTCCCACAAGAAGGCATGAGGTCATAAGGGAGAAACTGCCTTCCTGTCACCCTCCGCGCCAAAGGAGGTAACAGAGAAGTCTGCAGTGTGGATCTTTTCCATTCCCATCATCTACCTTCCTGCTGGATGCAATAAAACTCCGAGACACCAGCAGCTATTGCTTTTGAGAACTGGGTTTACTAATTATGCGGCTGATGGATCTTAGGCACTATAATCTTCATTTGTTGCTTGTTTTTCACCTTTTTTGTTTTATTAATAAAAGATCTTATGTATTTACTCCCATTACTATCACAATACAAAAATAAATTATTCAATAAAAAAAAAGTAAGAGCTAAAACTATAAAAGACAGCAGGGAAACACTTCATGACACTGGGTTGGCCAGTGGTTTCTAGGAGGTGACACAGGCAACAGTGACACTGAGCGAGGTAAAAGAACTTCACCAAAAAGCTTTCTTGTACCACGGACACTAACAGAATAGAAAGACAGCCCTCAGAAGGAGAGCCAATATTTGCAAATCATATATTTGATAAGGAGTATTCGGACTAGAGAATGCATTCTTAAAACTCAGTGACCACAACCCCATTTGGAAATGGGCCAAGAAGTCGAATAGAGAAGATGGGCAGATGGCCAAGAAGCATTATAAATCACACGGTCCGAATCCCCTTAGAGCAGCACCAAATGGACTATGACCGATGGCCATTACGAGGAAACAAACAAACCCGAAACTGTACAAGTGCTGGTGAAGATGGGGAAAAACTGGAACCTCGGAGGACTGCTAGTAAGATGAAAATGGTACAGATTCTGTGGAGGACAGTGTAGCAGTTCTTCAAGAAACAGACCAGCATGCCCCAGGGAAGCAGAAATTGTACTCCTAGAGATGCACCCTCAAAATTGAAACGTTAGAACAGATACGTGTACATCCATGTTCAAAACAGCATTTTTCAGAGTAGCCAGAGGTGGAAATCATCCAACCTAAACATCTATCAAAAGATGAATGAATACATGAAATGTTGTGTCTGCACACATGGAATATTATTCAGCCTAAAAAGGGAGTTCTGACATGGTACGAGATACATGAAACCCGAAACATTATGCTAAATGAAATAAGTGAGGAACAGAAGGACAAGCATTGTATGAATCCTCTCATAGTAAGTACCAATAACAGGAAAAGTCAAACAGACCAAATGGTGGTTCTGGGGAGAAGGGGGAAGGAAAACCATTAATGTTTACTGGGCTTCAGTTTGGGATGTTGAAAAATTTGTGAAACAGATAGTAGCAATGGTTACACAGTAATGTCCCTGGATTGGTAAACAAAAAATTGATCTGGAAAAAGTAACATGAGCGTGGTCTGCAAATATCTGGGAAGGAAGTATTTATAGCATCTTAACATCTGGAGAGAGGGAGAGAGGGAGAGAG